TTTTTTTTTTTTTTTCATTCCTCGGCGGTGGATTCATTCGACGTTTGCAAATATAGAAAAGCGTGGCCCGTTCGTCTTTCGCCGGAGCGCAAAACGAAACGGAGGAATATCCGCGTCGACGACGTAAATCGTCAGGTGGTGGGGATCGGTAGGGAAAGCTCGACGAATATATCGCTTCGAAAGAAAGAAAAAAAAAAAAAAAAAAAAAGAAAAGAAGGAAAAAAAATGAAAAAACTCAATTACCGCGCGTACTCGAGTCAGAAAAAGTGGGCCAATATTGAATTAGCATCGGCTTCGCTTCGGCAATCCCCCCTCTCCTGGCTAGGTGACTTTATTCTCAAGCCACATGCAGAAAATGAAATGAACAGAGATCCGACTGTCGTCCACTCGTGAATGGAGTTGTCTTGCGCGAATAAGGGACTCGAAGAGAGGACACTTCAAGCAACGAGTGTCAGAGAATTAGCCTCCTTCGTACGAGAAGACGACGTGACGTTAGATGCACGTCTCCACTCCTTTTTATTCTCATTCTCTCTCGTTTCATTCTACAACGAATTTCGCTAATCGACGATTACTTCGCCGCCCTTCCGTTTCAAATGGATCTTACGAATCAAACATTTTCGCATAGTCTAATGGAACGCAGTGTGAAGTTGAAGTTCTTAGAAGAGTCAAACGAGTGAAACGGAAGTCACACAGAATTTTCTCGTATTTATTTCGTATTAAATTCGTATCAAATCTTCGACGAGACCTTGTTCTGACGATGATCGAGCTTGTAAAAAGGCACAGAAGCAGATGCTCTCTCACGATTCGAAAAGGTTTAAGTTAGGTCACCTAAACTGAGAAACGTTCTGGAAACGATCAATCACCATATTGCTGGCAGAACTTCATCATTAGAAATGGAGTCACTGGGCTGGCGATGCTGAATCACACGATCGCTCTCGCTCTCGTAATAAATTATTTCCTCAAGCAGAAAATGCTCGCCGAAGAGAAACTTGGATAATGCGAAACAATGCTTGCGTTTAAACGACGAAAGCGAGTAGATGATCGTAATGATGCTGCTCGTCCCGCCGCAGTTCCTCTACAATTACCGAGGGATGTGTAAATAGTGTCAGTTATACTAAACGCCCTCTTGATTTTGTATTCAATGCTTGCAACGATCTAAGAAAATTATGCCATTCCCAACAGAGCAGGAGCCACTCGCGGACGCACTACACCCCTACTTATCACTCCAAATAAAGTAATTCAAAGGCGGTTAGATCAGGGCAAGGGATGTATTCACGAAAGCTCACGTCAACCGTGCACGATAACATTTCTCCTCGTGAACGCGGCGTAATCGTTTTGTAACAACGAGCGCGACTATTCATCATCGTTCTCCTCTCGGCCGGCTTGCATGATACAAAGGGGAACAGGAGAAGTTTGAATAATGCGAAATAATGCTTGCGTAATTGTACAGAGGCTCGTCGCTGCAGCCAGCAGATGCACGCGTAAATAAAAGACTCGAAGGGTGTCGAAACGAAATTGAGAAATATTCGAACGAAATTGAGATTACGGTAGTCCTCTTACGAGGGATCGTACCGAAGTGTGATCATCACCGATTTTGATAAAATTTGGCATAAACGTAGTTTTCAAGAAAACGTTTGACCTGTAGTGTTTTTTCTTTTTTATCGGTAATCGTCGACGTTGAAGGGGTGAAAACTAAAAACCCTCGAAATTGGGGCTGCGGAATATATTTTGTCAAATATTTGGGAAATTATTCAAGACACCGTGTAAATTGATGAAATTAGTATATTTTTTTTCTTTTTTACGACGAATTCAATGGCATATACGATTTTGCAAGAAAAAAAAAATCTTTTGCATATATTTAAACAATATATTTAAAAAACTGTATTTTTCATAAATTTCTCTAAGTAAATGTTCAGACACAAATTACGGATAAAATGGAACCTTTTTAGGGTTCTGAGAAACAAAAACCGAGCGTTTGTGAAGTATGCTTGCATTGAATATTCGAGATGTGATTCATTTTGTATTCTTGCTGCAAATGATCCTTATTTCTAGGCTTCTCTGAAAAACGTCGAGTTTCTCGAAATTCGACGTTTTTCTTTTATCTCTACGTCTCGGGAAATGTAGAAAATCTGGGAAACATGGAATTCAGAAGATGCAGAATCGCCAACAATTTTCTTCGAAAAAAAATCTCATCCTTATCTCCCTCTCGGCCTTATCTAAATTCGCGTTTCGTGAACGAAATGTCGCGGAGTAGTCGAGGTCAACAGGCGAGGAAATTCGTTCCGCGGAAACAACGGGGACGATGAAAAGGATTAATATAGGAGCGGATGGGGAAATTGGCGCGCTAAGAACGACAGGATCGCATGTGACGCGTGAATATTTCAGTGGCACGTACGCCTCGCGTTCTTAACGTGTTTCGCGCATTAAAAGTTGGGTGAAACGCGAAACCGAGCGGTGCAATTTTCAAGGGAAAGCTCTCCTTTCAGACCTCCCTTCAAAAAAAAAAAAAAAAGAAAATCACGTGGTTTTTGCTGTGCTTCGTTCCCCAGCCAGATCTCTTAATTAGTCTGGCTAATTCGCCTTGGCAAGCGTGAAACTAATTCCGAGCCGAGCTTGATTCACGAGGTTGATACGATGAAG